AGTTGGTTGGAGTGCACCGAGTCTCGGATTTCAGCAAATGCTGAAAGCCCAGGGCCTCTGAGTTGGTTAGGCCCTGGGCATCGGAACGTGGGGCCGACAATGCATGCTGGGAAGAGAGGCCGAAAATGCCAAAGGGAAATCGACCCACTGTCTGAATCTGGCGGCAGGCCTTGATGAAGGAGGCGCAACTGCCTTACCCCGGGGCCCAACTGTATCGAGTTGGCTTCAGCCTCTTGGTCCCGGTCACAGGCTGAAGGAAGGCCGCCCACACACTGCACTGGCATATAGGCAAGCAGGGCGAGGCAGCGGGGATCTTTGCCAATGCTGGCATATGCGGGCACGCTGCGCAGATGCAAGTGTGCTGCGCCAATGCAGAGCAGCGCTGCGCTAAGAAGAAGCAGGGCAGCGCTAGGCGGTAGGGCGCTGCCTGCTTGCAGAGCACTGGCGGCCATAGCCAGGCCGCATGAGGGTGCAGGGGAGGTGAGGGCGAAGGTGGTACTTCGGAGGTGAAGGGCGYTGTGTGGGTAACAAGGGAGAGTGTGGAGAAGAGGACACGTACCTGGTGATGGTGGAGGTCTGCATTGGTGTTGACATCATCACTCGCTGGTAGTCAAGTTGTCTGGTTGCTGTTCATTGCTGTAGTTGTAGGATAGGCTGTAGAGTAGATAGGGCGCCTGGCGCCATTCACAAGAGAGAGCTACATTTGGGTTATGCTGTTGGTGTTGCCCTGGTGGGCATGGACATTGACTCACGAGTCGCATGATGCGTAAGAAGGTGGCGACCATGGAACTGTAAGACATTTACAGTAAAGCCTCTAGAGGTAGTATAGTTACTACCTTCAGGAGGTGGGCTATTATGGTCATACAACAACTGATTTTCAACAGCATCAAGCTGATAAGCAATCGTAACAAACTCTGACACAGTATAACATTGACGCTGATAAGCCTGTAGGCAGACATTTGCGGCTGTCAAACCACAAGAATTTGGCAGGTCTGCCCGCAGATCCGAATTGGTCACCACTGGAAAGCAAGTTGTGATCAGGCGGGGTCGGCGAGTAAATGACGAATGTCGCCGACGTGGTAGAGCAGGTTGTCGGTAAGACAAAGAACCCCGCAAATAAGCATCAACACGACGTCGAGAGGAAGGGGGATTGTGAGGGGGAGAATGAACGAGCCTGCCGACGTCCCAATATGGACAACGAAGATAAGGGAGGGTCAGCTCTCAGCCGGCATGGGGAAGAGGAAGAAGAAGAAGAAGAAGAAGCAGAAGAAGACGAAGAAGGAGAAGAGGAAGAAGAAGAAGAAGAAGAAGAAGAAAAAAAAGAAGAAGAAGAAGGAGGAGGAGGAGGAGGAGGAGATGACAAAGAAGAAGAGATGCAGGCAATGAGGGGGGAGAAGGAGAGGGAGGGGGAGAGGGAGAGGAAGGCAGAGGGGAAGCAGAAGGGGAAGGAGGGGGAGAAGAAGGGAGAGGTGGAGAGGAGAAGATGGAAAAGAGGAAGGGGGAGGAAGGGGGGGGGAATATATATATATATATATATATATATATATATATATATATATATATATATATATATATATATANCTCAATGGGATGGTTACTCGGTTCCATGTGCTATCTGCTTTGGCTTTGAATACTTGGACTTCAGTGTGATTTTGCATTCTGGATTTYTGTGCTTCGTCCATACTCATGTTCCTTGCAATTTGGTATCGGAGCTGGTTTGATCGCCACTTACCTTTGGCATGCTGGCGTTATACAGACTTGGTGCGTTGACGATGCTTCTTCGCAGTGGGTACTTGTGACGTCAGGCTACACTAGGTGCACGCCCTGGTTAGAGAGGGGTGCACTGGAAGGCTATGTACGACATTATTAGCCGTGGGATACAACGGAATGTTTGATTGGTGATGAGAGCATGCTGATGTGGCATTGGACTAAGGTGGCACTGCATTGCGTTGTGGGTGGTACCGAGGTCATGACCGGTCATCAAATGCAACATCGGCTCAATTGGTGAGAAATCTGTGGTTGGGGGCAGCTATCTCCAGGTACGTTGTTCCCTTACCTTATCTACTCTCTCAATCTCTTCTTACCGTGAGGAAGTGAGTCCAACTTGAGAGTCCTCTCTTTTGGTGAGGTGTCGTGAGACGCTACCTTGAGAGACGACAATCTTCCCGGAAGCATACTGGAAGGAGAAAGGGCGGTGCCTCTGAAGGGCCTTAGTCGAAGCACTTGGGTCACGGTCACCATGCCAACCCACAGGGAGTAGTGCACGCATGCGATGGCTGCTGTCCTGTTTGGCACTTGCTGCGCTGATAGAAGTTCCTCCGGGTGTGCCAGCCCATGACAGACGCTTACCAGACCGTCTATAAACATTTCTGGTTGGGAGTTCATTGTGATTCTGGCTGTGATCGATGTCCTGACTGCGACGTTAAATAATTCCTGAAGAGATGGGGGCGCTCTATAAATTCCTCCTGATCAGCCAGACCACATGGACAGGAAGGCTCGTCGCCGTACGAGGGTAAATAAGAGTGGTTGGGCTGGCTTGCTCGGTGACAACTTGGGCACAGCGGTGGGCCGAAACACACACGAAGACACTGCCTGCTCAAAGATGCTATTCGGTATGTTGGATTGAGGGGAGGGTAGGTTCTAATTGGTGCTCAACTGTATACACAACCATAGCCATCAATCATACATCTGTTACATTGTCTTTTCGTACTTTTGATCATTTGGTGGACAGACTGCTAACACCTCATAGACAGACTAGAGTAGGACTGAAGTATACTACCATAGCCAGTTCTATCTAGTGCTGCTGTAAGTGAACTAGTCAAAGTGCATCTAGACTATGTAGACAATCTGTGTGAATGTTGTAGACATGCCACTTGATCGGTACAGTAGGGGACTTGCCGGACACAACTATTTATAGAAAACTATGTGTCGGTCAGACATATGCTGCGGTAGGATTCCACTAGGGGATTCTAGTGCAGATATTGCTTGTCTAACTAATGAGTGGATCAGATCCTGTGGATGATAGAGTGGACAACACTAGACTAACACGTTCAGGAACAAGTAGAATCCCGTACGTGTTCAGGACCCTAGACGAGGAAGAATTAAGACAACTTCGTGCCGAACGCAGAGTCCGTGCTCTCGCAGCATCGAGAGCAACAGCAAACACCGCAACTAGGGAACAGGCTGCCACAGCAGCTAGGGCAGCAGCCATGACTAGCTCAGCAGCATCCTCTGCGGCTTTGTCAGGGACTAATGGGATGAGTGTGGGAATGCATATTAGTTCCACAAGTTCCTCGGGCACTTCCGGATCAACGGGTTCTAGACAGTCTACTAGTCAGATGGCGGGCTCGCAGTACGCTGACCGCACGTGAGCGGGAACTCAGGGAACTCCAACAGGTCGAAAGGGTCCGCGGAAGGTTAGAAAGAGAACTGAAAGAGACTACTGATAGAGAAAAAAAGATAAAGAATAGAGCTGCCAGGCTTGATACACTAGAGACTGACAAAGCTGAGTTAGAGGGATTGGACGAAACGGGTTTGTCTGAGCCCATGAAAGTGTTGAAGAAGAACATGTTGTCACTGCACGCGCATGTAGACAGCAGGTTGGACTTCATGCAGAGCACTTTGGACCAGATCCTGGATGCATTGACAAGGCCAGGATTCAGGCCACCAGCACAATCGCCGTTGCCGTTAACGGCGATGTAAGGTCCCTTTCCCTTACAAGTTGGCACACATCCAAGTGGTACGTCTGCAGCAGTCTCGCAGACTGTTGCATCTTCTTCTTTGGGTCCAGTGGTGAATGCTACATCACCACAACAACCTGTTCAGCAATCTGGACAGCAGCAAGGTCAATGGTACCCCAAGACCCCAATGAAACCGCCTCTTGCCTTCTCAGGCGAGAGAAAGGACGAGGAACTCAACACATGGTTGAGGATGGTCCCGGTTTGGGTGAAGGCCAAAAGGACCTTCCCAGAGGATGAGTACTGCGGCATCTTACCTAGAGGGTAAAGCAGCCAAGTGGCTAGATGGTGTAGTTGTGAAGGCCGGGTACGGGCGACGCATGGTGGATTGGGCTAA